CAAGCTTTGCTGACCTTTTGTTCACGTGAACTTGTAGTAGGTGAATTGAAGCGACGCTGGGGTAGGTTCTAGAGCGGCTGCTGGTCCCGATGCCGAAGTTCCTGGACAATGTATCAATGTAGTAAAAAATGACGGTCCTATCCTATCTCTATCCCTATCAAGTATATTGCAGACTGTATATGACGAATTAGTTGCTGGCGCAAGGGCTGCTACCATTATTCTTTGGAACCACTTTTCATGCTCCATATTCACGGACAGGCTTGTTTTTTGTCAGCACTTGAAGGCAAAGCCCGCGACCACAGATTGTGGGTAACGGAACCCACATAGGAACGAAAAAGGGCTAGGTATCTGATTAGCGGAGAAAAGCAGCAGAAAAACAGCCGAAAATGCCCTAAATAGGATTCCATATCGACCCCAACTTGTACATGCATGCAATGAAGAAAACGCATGTTTGTACGAATTTCCACTCGTCGTTATCATAAAGATATCAGCTCTTTTATCGTATCACCTCACTCTCACCATTCGGAATGGAGAGAGATAGCATAGTGGCTACTAGCTAGTAGCTAGCAGCCGGTGGGGGTCGGCATGGGCCTAAGGGGCGCCCATGGGCCTAATTGGTTAGCTTAAAGCGGAATTCTTGCCGATTTTCACTTTCTAAAGGTAGCGCAGCCTCCGCAATCTCCTTCCGGATCGTCTGACACATTTGAAAGGTCATAGCCTTATTTTATCGCGGAAAGTGCCTTTAATGCATACACGGAATCACCACGACGAAAACGTTCGCGGAAGATTAGATAGTAGTTGGGCGAGGAACGTTGTTGAATTTTCCCCCGACATCCAACGTAGCATTGCTCGAAACGCACAAGTTTTCAGCAGAATTTGACTGACGCCGCATCGATGAACCCTTGGTAAATGCCAGATCAATCATATCATTATGCGGAAACCCGTTAGACAGAATCAGCTAGATCTCCGCGAAGCTTCTTTCGCTACTGCCTCATCACGTGGATGCTCATTCAGTGAAAAACTGGTATCTGCTGGGACTGCTGGGAAGTACCTGGTGATGATGCATGTTACGCGAGCTTCGACTTGGCCCTGTAATAAACGAATGTGGACGACGACGAGGCTGTAAATCCTGCACTTGTACTGCTAAACTAAGATAACACCAGCAAGAAGTTCACATATTTGGTTTCTCGTGGGATACTTCAATTTGAAACAACTGCTATCTTGTTCTGTGTTAGATGTAGACATGATTACGACTGCTCCGAAATGACAATATCTCACGAAAACCTGGGCCGCCGCCATTTTGAAATCAAGTACGCAGCCACGCCTGCCGATCTCAGGGATTTCGAGCATACCTTGAAAGTAACATAATTCAGTTTAGTGGCATGCTCTACACATAGAAAAAAGGCCTGCATATGGATTTGAGGATATCGCCGCTACTGGCTGTCATTTACTTCGATGGCATTGGAGGGAAATCTCTGACTTCCGCAGTAATATTTTACAAACGGTACTCAGGCGGTGACCCATTAGGCTGCGTTCATACCGTGCGACGGCGTCGTCAACGTCGACGTAACCGACGAAAGCGACGTAACCGACGTTTTCGACGACTAGTTCGCGAAGATTATATACGTATCGATCCGACGTAACGAAACCGACGTAACGGCGTAAGTGACGAAAGCTGCGTAACCGACGTTTTCGACGACTAGAGACTAGATACGTATCGATCCACCTGTCGACGTAACCGACGACAGAAGATTAGATACGTATCGACTGACGTCGAAAACGTCGGTTTCGTCCGTTACGTCGGATCGATACGTATATAATCTTCGCGAACTAGTCGTCGAAAACGTCGGTTACGTCGACGTTGACGACTACGTCGCACGGTATGAACGCAGCCTTAGCTCTACCCCTGACACAATGCACATGATGCTCCTAGAATAGAAGAATCATTCCACGGCAGAGCACCTAGACGACAATGGCTCCTTCCGATCCTGAACGCAAAGTCGGATAGTCATGGCACGTGGGTACTCGTATGGCACAAGAAAGAGATGTCAAGGAATATCATTCTGCATTCCCGAAGTGCACATCTCTTGTGTGTGAACAAAGATGATAAAGAGTCTTGACAAAATCGATCACCTGCACAGTGGAACTAAGATAGGTGGATCAGAAGGTAGCGAGAATCCTGGAGGAGAATGATTACACGACTTGTCAGCCGGAAACATTGCGCTCTTTTTTTTGCTATGGGAGGAGCGCGGCTGGTTTTGCCGTACATCAACGAGCGAGTTGCAAAGAAACTTGAACATATCATCATGTCGTTCAGTGGTGCTAGTAAGTCGACCACCCCCGAGTCTGGAAAGCTTTGCCGACAACATCGCCCACATAAGAAGAAAAATGTGACCATAGTGACCGTACCCGGACACCAGTGAATATTTATACAGTCATTACCCTGGGTCAGTTTATATGGCCACTGTGAAGGTGTATGGTCAGAAGTATGTTGATGGTATCATGCGACCATTTCATGAAAGGTTGGATGAACATGTGGGCGCATTACGGAATCCTGTCTTCGCACTATTCCATCATTCGTTATCTTTTTCTGCCTAAAACTCAAAAAATGTTTTTTTTCGGGCGGAAACTTTGCCTATTGGAGGTTGTTTCGGTTGCCTCTGATCACGTTGATAGTTCAGTTTTCGGCTTGGCACCGTCATCTGACGCGTCAATGGGCAATTTTGCTGATGTGGTGCGCCTATTCACCTTTTTGTTTAATAAATTAATGAAAATATTGTTATAGGGGGACTTATTTGACATTACTAATTACAAACTTTCGGCCTATTTTTTGAGCTGCGCGGTCATTTGCACAAATAGGCAACTTTGGTCGATCGTCTTTTTCATGCTTCTCCCATTCAAAATTCGAGTGAAGCTCTTGCATGGTATTTGCGTGTGCTCAGCGAGTGGCACTCTGATTCAT